ATATATATATATATATATATATATATATATATAGAAAATAGAAATATAGAAAAAAAGGTCAGAAAAACACAAGTGTATGTGTAAAATGTGTAAAAATAACAATATATATAATCTCTTCAATTTCTTTTATTTCATTATTGTAGGCCTACGTACATCCTGTCTCTTATACACATCTAATCGTTATTTTTATTATTAGGTTCCCGTGTACCACCAGTAGAAGTAAAAACAAACAACACATTTTCATTAGTAATCGTTATTTTTATTATTAGGTTCCCGTGTACCACCAGTAGAAGTAAAAAAAAAACAACACATTTTCATTAGTAATCGTTATTTTTATTATAAGGTTCCCGTGTACCACCAGTAGAAGTAAAAACAAACAACACATTTTCATTAGTAATCGTTATTTTTATTATTAGGTTCCCGTGTACCACCAGTAGAAGTAAAAAAAAAAACAACACATTTTCATTAGTAATCGTTATTTTTATTATTAGGTTCCCGTGTACCACCAGTAGAAGTACATGTAAAAAAAAAACAACACATTTTCATTAGTAATCGTTATTTTTATTATTAGGTTCCCGTGTACCACCAGTACTGTAGAAGTAAAAACAAACAACACATTTTCATTAGTAATCGTTATTTTTATTATTAGGTTCTCGTGTACCACCAGTAGAAGTAAAAACAAACAACACATTTTCATAAGTAATCGTTATTTTTATTATAAGGTTCCCGTGTACCACCAGTAGAAGTAAAAACAAACAACACATTTTCATTAGTAATCGTTATTTTTATTATTAGGTTCCCGTGTACCACCAGTAGAAGTAAAAACAAACAACACATTTTCATTAGAAATCGTTATTTTTATTATTAGGTTCCCGTGTACCACCAGTAGAAGTAAAAACAAACAACACATTTTCATTAGAAATCGTTATTTTTATTATAAGGTTAACGTGTACCACCAGTAGAAGTAAAAACAAACAACACATTTTCATTAGTAATCGTTATTTTTATTATTAGGTTCTCGTGTACCACCAGTAGAAGTAAAAACAAACAACACATTTTTATTAGTAATCCTTATTTTTATTATAAGGTTCCCCTGCACCACCACCTAACCCGCATTCAACATTGCACTGTACAGTACAGTGACATCCAATTCATGCTTTGATTATACACTACACGGCGTTCCATACAATAACCCTTATTTGGGCAATGAATATCATACGGCCGAACAAGTGTACGGCCGAACCGGTCCTACACCGTTAAAAGCCGTGGTTTTTAGTAATAAAATGCCTAAAAACCGATGTTATTAAGCAGAATCTGAATGAAGAAACATCGTAAGATATTTTTAGGAGCACACAGTAGGTAAAAAGACAAGTTTTGAAGATAGAAGTGTTACAGTAATAAAGTGCATTAGCGCCAATGAATGTGAGATGCATTGTTTTTTTAATAAACTGATGGTCCTTAGAGTTCATGATTGTTTACAAATGTTTGAGCTACCACGTAATATTTTTCTCTGTACCATTTTTGTGTTTGTGCTGCTACATTGACTTCTGCACTGTAGCAGTTGTTCATCCTTTTGGCATGATGTCTTCAAGGATAAATTACAAGTGGGGACACCGGAACTCAATTGGCGCAGTGCAAAAGTCAAGTGGCACGTCAAGTGAAGTAGCAGCTCATTCATAATAGTATAATATATAATTATTTGTACCACCACTAAACTACTTGACTCTTGCGCTGCACAACTTACTAGGCACTGGCAGAGTCCTAGTCCTGCTGACTCGTCACCTAGCCTCCATGTGAACACAGGTTTCCTAGCTGGTGGAGCTGGGTAGGACTAGGGAGGAGGCGGCCTTACTAGGCCCTAGCCTCTAGACCAGACCATTATTATCATGGCTCGTTTTGATGATGTTGTAAGTCATTATTACAAGGGTACACCTCCTTTCGAGTACTTACCCACTGAATCAGTCAAGCTGTTTTTATAAAAGGATGCTGAACAGTAAAATCCGACGTACTACAACAAGCTCGCTCTTAGAAATGCAGTCAGCTCACGCTGATGTTGCAAGCATGTAGTAGTGTGTGTTTACTGTTTACAATTGAGCGCCCTCATCGGTTGACAACATTCTACTATGGTGGGCCAAAAGGCTATTAGGGGCCCATTGAAAAAAATATACCTAAAAACAATAATCTAAAATAATTTCCAACCTAATAGGTGAAAAAAAATTAATTAAGCTTAATTATTGATTAGGCCACTGTGTTCATTTCATTTCTTCAGTGGCCAGGACCATAAATGTTCCTAAATTAAGACAAAAAAAAAAAAAAACACCGGGGAAAATAAGAATATTATATACAAATTTAAGTATGAGAGTGACATTTCCGGCAATCTATAGGGGTCATAATCAAATTTGTTCCCCAACCTTGGTGGGGCTGAAGTACTTAGGCCTCCTACTACCAATGATAGCCTTTAGAACAGCTGCTGATGCTGCAGGCTTCTCTTGTAAGAGGATAAAAAGAAGCACTTCTTACTATGAATCTTCTGAAAACGTAGTAGGCCTAATAATATATACTTAGTCGTATAATTTTCATTCAAAATACAGCCCCTGAAAAATGAAAATGTCGGAGTTATTTGGAATTTTCCTCTCCCGGGGGAACTTATTGACGGCTCCCTGCATAACCCCCAAGTCTTAACTCATGCCAACGGCCCCCGGTTGACGCTTCACATCCGAAAATGCCGTAAAAAAAGACTCTGGATGTGATATATTTTTGGAATGGTAAAAACCATGCTTTTAACTGGTGTCACGTTTTAAATTGAAATCTCACATTTTCTCCTGTTATACTTGTGTTCTGGTTTACTTTTACCTTTTGCCGCTCTTGTTCTAATGCTTTCTCAGGATACAGCTGTAGGCCTAGTGCCGGGTGTATGAATCTCGACCTCCTAAATCCATAGTGTATTCGCCCCCCTTGGGAACTAAATTTGGCCCTGACCAAAATTTCCGAAGGGAAAACTTTTGGAATGTTAATGTCACAATAGCAGCTTAACATGATCGCTAAGAACGTTTACGGAATAAATTCAGAGAGGATGAAAGATTTCCAAAAAACATGAGTAGATTTTAGGATACGTGTAACTACATATAGCCTTACATTCAATGGAAGCAAACAAATAGATTGATTTATATATATCTGTCTCTTATACACATCTAGATGTGTATAAGAGACAGGGACTAGGGAGGAATATATATAATCTCTTCAATTTCTTTTATTTCATTATTGTAGGCCTACGTACATCTTCGAAATATTCAGGGAAAAAAAACATAACCAGTGAAGCATGGCGCTATTATCTATTGGAATATATTTAACAGTGACACTGTTGAGTTGCTTTATAAAAGTTCATCATCTGCAGTGTATAGAGTGCCAAGTGACACAATGTCAATATCTGTCATTGACGTTCAATTGTCAATAAGACGACTAATAGAACAGTACAGCAATATATGATGATTTATTTCTATGATGATACATGCATAATACATTTTGGAGTATGAATGATAAGAAAGGAATTAACTCACTCACTTCCATTAGTCCAGTGAATAATGTTTGATTGGACAGTGTAGTTTAACGATGATGATGCGGATTATAACGAGGAGGAGGTGGAAGAGGAAAGTGATGATGATGATGATGATGGTGATGATGATGATGATGATGATGATGATGATGATGATGATGACGATGATGACGACGAGAATAATGGTGGCAGGCGTAGAGCAAGCACGTGCCCCTCCTTCCCTTTTGCCACTAAATTTTAAAATTTCAAAGCACATATTGAAATTAGCGATACTCACTTATCTATTCTGAAAATGTGAAAAATTCAGGATCCGCCAAAGATGGCAATGATGATTACAATGATGATGAGGTGAAGATGATGATAATGATGATGAGGTGAAGATGATGATAATGATGACGACGATGAAGAGGTGGTGGTGGTGGTCATGGTAAAGATGATATCATTTGCTTACTCATCATAAAATAACTATAGGTAATTTTTTAATGTAATCATTATTTTATTCGGTTATAGGCCTGATATTTGGATGACGCAAAGTATCATATTTAATATAGGCCCCCGTTAGACTATGACGTATATACTTAACATGTTATCAAGGGAAGTTCAAAAACAGAAAGTCGGCAAGAAAGTATAATACATACTCCAAGTATTGAAATACACACCATCGTGTTGGGATTCAATATTTCGACATTAATTATGTCATCATCAGGAATGAAAGTCGGCACGTACTGTACATTTATTCGCCCCACTCTGTTTCTCTGACTCACACTGGAAACTACAGGTAAGCAGATTTACCTCACTTTACACATAAGGGGCAGATGCAGGATTTTGCGGTAGGGGTGTGTGAGAGTCCTCACCAACGGAAATTGAATTTTCATGCTTTAAAAATCTTACCGATAGGCCTACTATGTCCATAATGATAAAAATTGTATATCAACAATACAATACAACAATGATTTTCTTAATAAAATTTACGTCTACAGTTTATGAAACTGAATGTACGTGTATACATAGGCCTACATTTCTGAATGAAGTTACGTCACTTTAGCATTTAATTAGTTTTTACAAATCCAATAATAGGTCTGAAAAAAATATACTTATCTTTAATGTCATTGAAGAAACTATAAATGTGTACGTGTGCCTAGTAAATCAGTCATTACCAGTTATGGGGACTGTACTTCTGTATTATTATTATTAATATTATTATTATTATTATTATTATTATTATTAATATTATTATTATTATTATTATTATTATTATTATTTATATGATTACTATAGCAACTTCATAATTATACTCGATTAATAATATAAAAATGTCATTCATCATACATTGATAATATCAATGTATTCATATTGAATGTATGAAGGCGTTGGTCAACAATTATGTCAATGAAACACAATTGCATCAATAGTATCTTTACATAAGCTCTTTCCAAACGGTCAAACTAGTACGAAACTTTTGGTTCAGTTTTTCATTCTGACAGGAGTATGGCCTATATAGACACTCGATATTTCCTAGCAACACTATTAAATTGTTTGATAAATAACTTGTCAACTCATAGGAAGTTTAGGGACAATCATAGGGTCTATATACTGATACAGTACAGGATCTATTCCTATGCAGGTATCTACCATTTTCAAAATGTCTATACTTTCTGCGCTGTGATTGGCTGATGGTTTCCAAATGTCATTAAATATTTGAAGGAAATAGAACACATTCTATAATTTTCAGTTCTTTTCCCATCTCTTTGGATATCCAAGGGGACCACAGATTAAAGCAAGTATCGCAGTAAAATCACAGAACATGGGACTCAAACCAGCTTCGCCCTATTAATAATTTTTACCCTGGATATATATTTGAGGACAAAAACTGACCGTGTGAAATTAGCTTTAGTCATCTTCATTAACAAAATCAAAAATATAAACTCACTGTAAGAGTAAAGTTCTGTCCACCACACTATCAAATTTTCTTTGACAAAAACTGTTGTATGTGCATATATAGTCATAATGTTCCTATATATGGTCATAGTTTGATGTCATCATGACCATATTTAGGCATGTCATATTTTTTTTTTCAAACACAATTTCATAGCCTGGACAGAGGGCTTTATAGCTCTGTCCACACCATCAAATTTCTTTTACAAAAAAAACTAAACTGTTGTATGCCCATATATAGTCATAATATGCCTATATATGTTCATGGTGTGATGTAATCATGAACATGATATTAGGCATGTTTTTGTCAATTAAATTTTTGATTGTCTGGACAGGGTTTAAGGTAGGGCTTTTCCTTGTGTTTGATTATAACTTAAAAGGGTTGCAGTGTACTGGCTGCAGACTGGATAGTGTATGTTGCGATGGACAATTGTTCTTCTACCACGTCCCATTTGTTAACGTCCGGGTTATTTTCAATGTCGAACATTGCATCGACGATCCCTGGGAATTTATCGCTTGCGTAGCTGTTCTTACTGCTCGGTGCAAATACGATGTGCCTGTATATGGGTAGAAATGATTGATTAATGCCTTCACTGAATTATGTAAATTTATATTATACGTCATATGTAGCTTAGATAGGTAATATATAAAAAATGTAATTCGATGTATTTTCCAAATTGTTTAATAATAACAAAAGTAGCAACAACAATAACAATATCATTAAAAGCAATAGTAGGCCCTATATATATCAATAGTATACAATAGCAATAATGATAATAATAATAATAATAATAATAATAATATGCAATAGCAATAACAATAATAGCAACAGCAATAGCAATGTAATGCAATATCAATAATAACAATAATAGCAATAGCAACAGAAATATA